GTAAGACCCTGTCTCAAAAAAAACGAAAAAAAAAAAAAAAAAGAATTTTGTGTAGCAAATTTTATGTTAAGAGTGGGAGTTGGAAAGACACACGCACACGTATGTTTATTGCGGCACTATTCACAATAGCAAAGACTTGGAATCAACCCAAATGTCCATCAGTGACAGACTGGATTAAGAAAATGTGGCACATATACACCATGGAATACTATGCAGCCATAAAAAAGGATGAGTTTGTGTCCTTTGTAGGGACATGGATGCAGCTGGAAACCATCATTCTTAGCCAACTATCACAAGAACAGAAAACCAAACACCGCATGTTCTCACTCATAGGTGGAAACTGAACAATGAGATCACTTGGACTCGGGAAGGGGAACATCACACACCGGGGCCTATCATGGGGAGGGGGGAGGGGGGAGGGATTGCATTGGGAGTTATACCTGATGTAAATGACGAGTTGATGGGTGCTGATGAGTTGATGGGTGCAGCACAGCAACATGGCACAAGTATACATATGTAACAAACCTGCACGTTATGCACATGTACCCTAGAACTTAAAGTATAATAATAATTAAAAAAAAAAAATTCATGCAAAAAAAAAAAAAAGAGTGGGAGTTGGTTGCTTCAGTTACTGCTGGGAAAAAAAAGAGTGGGAGTTGGGATCTCAGGTCCCAACTCTTGGGACTCAGTTCAGTCCACCATCTTGGCTGGAAGTTCTCCAAAGAGAACTTCAGAGAAGTGAAGGAGTTTAAACAGGGCAATGGCATAATTTGATTGTTCATGAAAAAGATCCCTTTGTGGTGCTGAGGACAGATTAAGGGCTGCTATAGAGGTGATCATGGCCTTGCCTTCAGAGAAGGGCATAAAGTTGAGAGGTGATCAGAAGATAGAACCAGCAATGGCCAAGGGTCATGATAGCAGTTGGGGTAGAGAGGAAGATTTTGAGCTTGGTACTCGAGTCCTCCCAGGAAGCTGTGGATACCAGTGAAAAGCTGGCCAGAGTGGGAGGCAGGAGTTGCACAAGAGCCTCGGGTTTGGAAATTGCAGTGACAGGGCCGGAGATGTGGATGACAGAGTGAAGCGGGTCCAGAGGGCGGAGGGCCCGCAGAGAGAAGAGGCACTCTCCACCAGTGAAGAGATGGGAGTTGAGAAGGTGGGGGTGGTATTTGCATTTTGGGCATTCTGAAAAGTCTCCAGTGTGTCCTACGAGCCTTAGACAAAGCAGACATTTGGGAGACATTTGTAGAGTGTCTTGGTGCCAGCATGAGCCAAGCCATCCTGCTTCCTGGTAAGCAGTATCTGGGCCCTGGCGGAGGAGGGGCCACCTTGAGAGCCTACAGGGCTGGGACCAAGTCCCCCAGGAGTCCCTCCCCTCCCCGATCCCACTGCCCCTAAGTCTGGGTCTCCCTGCCTGCACCATCACCATAGTCCTCACTGATCTTCCTGCGTCTACTTAAACCATTTCAAGGATGATCACTGCCTACAAAATACAGTTCAGACTTTTGAGCTTTTTACTTACAGTCTCGACTGGCCTCCTCAGCCCCTGCGACTCTCCCATGCGTCCTCCCCTTCTTCTACCTGCTTCCCCAAATGTGCCTCCTGCATTCCCTGGGCTTTAATGCTGCTCTCTGCACTCCTCAGATGCTGACACTGCGCCAAGGTCCAGCAGAGAATGGCGTCCTCTGTGCCTGGTGAGGGCAGTGAGCATTCGTGCTGTGAAAAGGTCATTCCTTCCTTTCATGTTCGACGCCTGTGGTGTGCCAGGCCCTGGACTAGGTGCTAGGCTGGATGTTAAAACTCACAGAGCACAGTCCCTGTTCTGAAGGTGCTTCCAATCCAGAGGTGCCGAACAGTGGCCCCGGTTAGCCAGAGGCAGTGGAATGGGGTTCCCGTGCCGTTTTCACCTGAGCTGGGGTCCAGAGCTGGCTCCAACTGTCTGTCAGGGTTTCAGCTGGCACCGTTGACTGAGGGCGTTGCTTTGCAGGGTGGGGAATGGGGTGGAGTGGAGACTTGAACATTTTGTTCCATAGATGTCTGTGTTGTTTAATCTTGAAATCAAGTGTGGGTTTAATATTTGCTTATGTACATAACTGTTTTTTGATTGAAAAATAAATTCTTTTATTTAGGTCTCTTTTTGACTTTCATATAGTCAGTGACCTGTGTCAGCGCTCCTTGTGAACCCCCCGGGACAGGCCCATGCTTGAACAAGCCTGTGGCTGCTCATCATGGGGGAGCGTCCACACCCTGGGGCGTCGTGTTAAGAGGGTGCTGGAAAGGACTTCTTACAGGATTCGGCTTGAGTAATCTGGGGGAGGGTTTAGGGAAGCGGGAGTTTGCTCTGGATTGGTGCTGTCAGGAAGCAGGCATCATTCTGCAACTGGGAGTCTCAATGCATCGTATTTGGAAGGAGGACAGACTAGAACCAGGCCAGAGCTGTCAGCTGTGAAGAGGCAGCAGCCACTCAGACTGTCCCGGACAGGGCACTGCTTGCCCTTTTTACAGCTTGGACAGTGCCCATGTTTTGTCTGTGTTCAGACGTGATGACAGAGGGGTCCTGCTTTTGTATTGATTCATCATGGTGACAGAGTAGTCTGCTGTTGCTGTTCTATGAAATTTTAACCAGGAGACACTGAGGGCTCTATCTGTGAGTGCCAGGCCGCTCCTAGCAACACCGAGGCCTCTATCTGTGAACGCCAGGCCGCTCCTAGCAACACTGAGGCCTAGAAGATAGGACCAGATCAGCTCCCAGGTGTCAGCGACTGGTCTTCTTTCTACCTGAAGAATCAGTGTGGTGGCCTCACAGTTACTACAGGTGCGTTCAGCCTCATGACTCCATGTGAGCACCCCCTGCCGATTCATCCGCCCGGACACATCACCAGGTACTTGGACTCCTCATTTCACTCCATGGCTGGGACACAGCAGATAGCAGACCTCTCAGTTGCCAGACACATCCCAATGGCCTTCGGCTGCGCCCAGCCTGGCTTAATTGGTGCCTCCCGATGCTTCTGGAGGCATCTGTGCTCCCAGCTCCTCTCTGGCATGTCTCAGCGGCTTCTTTGTGGCCCACTTCACCTGTTCACAGCCCCCATGGCTTCCCCTGTACAGTCACCTGTTCACAGCCCCCATGGCTTCCCCTGTACAGTCACCTGTTCACAGCCCATGGGCCTTCCCCTGTACAGTCTCTCGCCAGACTCATCTTCCTAAACACAAACCCAGCTGTGGCCCCTGCCTGAGTGGCCTATCCTACACCTGCAGGATAGGCCCAAGCCCTCCTGTGTTCAGCCCTGGCCTTCTCTCTGGTGGTGGGGGTCTTTGCTATAGATCCTCCGGCCCCCCGGCCCTGCCCCATTCCCCAGGGACCCTCACTAAAGCCTCTCCCTCTCAGCCCGGAGTTTGTGTCTGTCTCGAACTCCTCAAGAAAACACTGTCCTGGCACATTTCACTTCGCAGTTATTCCTGAGACCACCCCCTGCCCCTGCACTGACGTTCTTGTTAGCCACATAAACACTTTATTCTACTCTTTCGTATAAAATCTTGAGGGGTCTGGGATATAGAGCTAGGCGGGTTCTTTCTCCTCCTCAGCATGCTGGAGCATAGGCGGGCACCTAGAGGAGGAACTGTACCTGCTCAGGAAACGGCTGGAAGGGGAAGTGGGGGAAGGGGGAGCCGTGTGGCCCACTTGCTGTTCAGCATGTGATTAGCCGCCGCAGAGGGCAATGTGGACTCCAGGAAGTGCCCTCGTGGCTGGGAAGGCAGCGTGTGTTCCCACGCTGTAGGGGGCTGCAGCAGGGAGCACACTCATGACTCAGGTTGTGCAGGGTCAGGGCCCCGGGCTGAGAGGCAAGGGGACAGCAAGAGGGCAGCTGGAGCCACCAGTGGACAGATGGCAGGGGCCGTGTACCAGGCTAAGGAGCGTGGACTTCATCCTGAGGGCACCACTGAGGGTTTTAGGAGGTGGGTAGTGCAATGGACGCGATAGATGTTCCAGAAACACACCGCTAGGGTCCTGGTGGAGGGTGGGGCAGGCAAGGCGGCCAGGTGAGGCCGGGGAAGTTGGGAGGGCGAGGGAAGCGGGGCAGCCCTGCTCTGGCTTGGAGATAATGCAGGAGGAGGTTTCAGGAAGGATGAGCTAGGCCCTGGGCAGCCCACAGCTGTGGTGGCCACGGATATCAGGGTGGCGCTGGCTTCATACATGGAGGTGCTAAGGGGACTGACTGGGTGGTGGGGAGGGGCCTTGAGAGATCCTCAGGCCGTGCATGGAGAGACTCGAGGCTGCAGTGGGAATGTCCAAGTCCAAAGTTGCCTCTTGGCCTGGAGCCGCGGGGCGTGAGAGCTCAGCACGGCTCACATGCAGCCAGATCCCAGGCAGTGGAGGGATCCCCTGCAGGAGTAGCAGGCGTCACAGGGCAGGAAACGCAGTACAGGCTGGGGCTGAGGGCTCCAAAAGACCGGGCCTGGGCAAGCCAACGGGCCCAAATGGCTGAGCCCTCAGTCTCTGTCCAGCTCTTGGACGGGACCTCCAGCCTGCGTTTCTCGTGGGGAGGCTGGAGAGAGGCAGGGACCTCTGTGTGAGGCAGGCCTGGGCAGAATATCAGGGTGCCCACACAGATGGACTGCACAGAGCTGGGGAGGCCCAGGGAGCACCCGAGGTGCATGGCAGGCTGCCCTGGGGCAGGCCAGTGACCTGCGCCGCTGGCCCAGGCAACAGAAGAGTGAGAGGGCTACACCGTGCCATCTCCAGGGAGCACCTGGTAGACACAGCCAGGCCACTTACCATCGGGGTACCCCAGCACAGGCTTAGCTCACTCTGAGCACCCCAGGGTCTCTGTCCATCAGTTGGGAACTCAACACACACCTTATGTAGCTGCGTGTGGGCAGAGGCTTGGCACTGTGTTAACCTCCATTTTCATTTCTGGTCCTGTGTCCCCATCAGCAGGAAAGGCCTGGAGCCCCTCCCGACTTCATGTTGAAAGTGGCAGGGAGAAGAGTGACCAGGGGAAGGCAGAGAGCAAATCCCATTTATTGGAATTTCACTGACAGCAGATTGAGAGGAAGGCTTCCCCCTCCCCTGAAACATGCCGTCCTCTCTGCCCTCAGGGCTCAGCACAGGGTTAAGACCCCACTCCGCATGTCCCCAGAGGGCAGCACTCCAGGGTGGGGGGGAGGGGTGCTCTACGCCAGGCTGGGGAGCTGGGACAGGAGGGAAGACGTGCACCCTCACCTCTTGGCTCAATCCCTCTCCCCGGGACCTGGTGCTGCCCCCAGTCCCTGGGGTGGGCTGGCAGACAGGGCTCATGCAACAATGAGTAGACAGGAGGTGGCACAGAAACGTGGCCTTGTTGCCCCTTGGAGGGGCGGGAGGACTAAAGGGGCCATGCTGTGGCCACAGCGGGTCCAAACGGAAGTATCTGCAGTGTACATATGGGAGGGTTGGAGAGGGGCGTCCTCTGCCCCAGGCTGTGCCTGGGGACAAGAGAGAGGGGAAGGACAGCTGGCACTGCCGTGCCAGGGGCAGGGTCCAGGCCAGCCATGCCACCTGAGCGGGCACAGAGAGCTGGAGCTGGGCTACTCCTTGGCGCGGCCAATGATGGTGAGGATGTACAGGAAGATGTTGATGATGTCTGTGTACAGGTTCAGCGCGGCAAACACGTACTCTTCCGGGCTCAGGGACAGCTGCTTGTTCCCCAACAGCAGCTGGGTGTCCACTGCCAGGAACTGGAGGTGACAGCACAGTGGCGTTGAGGGACAAGCCTGCCCGCCCAGCGTCCCGCCCCTGGCCAAGGCCGCCCCTCACTCACGCAGGTGAAGAGCAGAGCGCCCAGCGAGGCGTACACAATCTCCAGGATGCGGTTCCGGATGAAGATGCAGAGGATGGCGAAGATGAAGAGCACCACCATGCTCACCAGGAGCACACCCATGCACGAGGTGAAGTCGTAGCGGGTCTGCAGGCGGGGGAGGAACGGGCCATGGGGCTGGGGCTGGGCCTGGGAAAGCCGCTCGACCTCTGCGGCCACAGCCCAGCCATGGGAGGCCCCTCACCTGCATGGAGAAGATGACGACCGTGAAGCAGACGGCTGTGGTGATGCCCACGGCCATGATGACTGCCTCGGTGTTGTAGAAGCTGGCGATCATCCCCACCATGTACGACAGGCTGGCGGTCAGGACCGACTGTGGGTGGGAGACACACGCTGGCCTTGGGTGTGTGCCACCCCCGCCCGCCCCTGCCTCATGAGCACAAGGAGAACCAGGGTGACCAGGCCCGGAAGAGTGGGCGTGTGGGACTGCATGGCCAGACCCGGGCCCAGAGGCTCAGGTTTGGGGGTTACCAGTGCAACAAGGTTCCAGGGGTGCTTTCGCCGGAAGTCCCCACAACAGCTGAGGACGATGAGGGAGATGAAGAAGACAGCATAGGAGACATAGTAGGTCCAGACGTTGTCCCGGACAAAGCCCTTCACCTCCCCAACAAAAGTGAACACAGCCACCGTGGACAGGGTCACCGACAGCTGCAGGGTCAGCACCAGGAACACCTGGGAAAGGAGCCACTCAGAGTCATCCGCTGGGCGCCACACCCCCCACCTCCTCCGAGATGCCCCCACCCACCTTGCGGATGAAGGCCTGTCGGATGCTCTTGTCATCCCAGTTGGTGGCAGGGAAGTCCTGGTTGTCATAGTAGGATGGGGGACCCTCCTCCTGGTAGTTTCCATGCTGGGGTGCTGAGGAGCAGACAGGCTGGGTCAGCGCCACTCACGAGCACCTCCCCCTGCCCTCCCCGCCATCACACCCCTCCCTTCCTGAGACTCACAGTCAGGGTCTTGTCCTGGGAAGGCCTGTGGCTGTCCATAGGGGTTGGGGGGAAAGGGGCTCTGGGGATATGGCCCCTGGGGGTAGCCCCCTTGGGGGTAGGGGCCCTGTGGGTAGCCCTCTTGGGGGTAGGGGCCCTGTGGGTAGGCCCCTTGGGGGTAGGGGCCCTGTGGGTAGCCCCCTTGGGGATAGGGGGTGGGGCCATGGGGGTACCCTGGCTGACCGTAGGGTGAGGGCTGGAAAGGGGGCTGAGGGTAAGGGGCCCCAGGGTAGGGAGGCTGAGCATAGGGGGGCATGGGTGGCTGGGGCCCCCCCGGATATCCAGGGTTGGGGGGAGGATAGTTGTCCCCAGACACCAAAAAACTCTTTTCATGGGACATGGCCTCGGGTTCGGCGGTCCGCCCCTAGAGCAGGCAAACAAGAAACAGTGGAACAGTTGGCTTGCGCGACAGTGTCAGGACCCAGCCCTGCGCAACTCCACCTGCTTCTCGGAACCCAGGGGGAAGAAAGGGAAGACCGTGACCTTTGCCACGGGCTGTGCGGAGCCCCAGAGCCTGGGCCTGGAGAAGCGCGTGGGAACCTGACCGGACCGGCGCTGTGGGGCCTTCCCAGGGCTCTAGGCCGCCTTTAGGGTGGGGGAGGGGCCGGGCGAGGGGATAACCGCCAGCCTCGGGATTTGGGGCTTGGTTGTTTATCACAAGCAACCGGAGGCCTGCACCGCTGCCGGCGTCTCCCGGGTGGGAGCTCAGCGCGTAGGGGCTGGGGTCTGGTCGGGGACGTGTGGGGTGTGCCCGGACCCTCCCCTCCGCATCCCGCCCCTTAAGCAGCTTTAAGGGGCCGGAGCCGGCGGCTATTTCTATCCCAGGAAATCCCCGGGCCATCTGTGACCAACAAGGGCCCGAGCCCCCCCACCCCCCCGAACCCAACAACAGGGCCCAACGGCCCCGGGCTCCGGGTGGGGGGATCAGGCCTCGATCGGCTGCCGGTGCCTGCCAGTGGGATACGCCGGGAACAGCGGGGTGCGGGGGTGTGTGGGGGATGGAAGCGACCACGGAGCGTGCGGGGAACAAAGCGGGCGTGGGGCGAGGCGGGTAGGGGCTGCGGCCGTGGCACTGGCACCGAGGGGGGATGGGCCCTCCGCGGGCCGGGGGCGCACAGGGTCATGGGTCCAGCAGTCGCCGCAGCGCGCCGCCCCCTCCCTCGGGCTCCAGGCCGCCGCGGCTCCCCGCCCCCACCACCGCCGCCACCTCTGGCCGGGAGCAGCCGCGTGCCCCGGCGGGACCAACTGACCGACCCGAGGCGGCCACGCTCGGATGCGCAGGACCCGCGTGGGGGCGGGGGCGGGGGCGGCCGGCCGCACGGCGCAGCGGGTCGGACGCGCTCCTGGGCTCTGGCCGGGGACTCACCGGTGGCGGGGCGCCGCAGGCCGGTGAGCACGGTGTCCGCTGCGCGGCCGCGCGGTGATGGCCGGTGCGCCCGCACCCGCACCCGCACCCGCTCGGCGGCCGCTCGGCTGGGCCTGCGCCTGCGGCTGGGAAGACGCAGCGGGGCCTTGTGACGGGGCGGGGTAGGGGGCGGGGCCGGGCGAGCTCGGGGATGGGCGGGGCGGGGCAGGGCGGGCGGGGCTTCCGCGGACCCGACCCACTGCGCCCCCTTGCTTGTTCCTTTTGGCTCTGGCTGGAGGCCCGCGCCCCTCACTGCCTGCCGAGGGCTGTGGTCGGGCGGTGGGCGCTGAAGACCCCTGGAGGCAGAAGTCTGGTCTGGCCAATTTGGCTGGCCGTTCGGTAGTTAAGAAATTTATTCCTAAATGCGGGATTTGCTGAAGCTGCCCAGGACTGACCATCCGTTCTCGGCCTTAAAACTCAACGTTCACTTCTTTTCATCCAGGTCTATCCCAAATCAAGAAGCCTAATCGTTTAGTTCCCAAATTGAGGCCTCATGGTTTAATTGCCCCATTTTCTCTATCAGCCCAAACTCGGCCAGGCCTGCTACTAGAGACCTTTTTTTTTTTTTTTTAAATTCTTGTGGATACATAGGCGTATGTTTATGGGCCACAAGGGACGTTTTGATATAGGCATGCATAATAATCACATCAAGGTAAATGGGGTATCCATCAGCTCAAGCATTTGTCCTTCGTGTTACAAACAATCCGGTTATACTCTTGGAGTTGTTTTAAAATGTAAAATTAAATTATTTTTGATTACAGTCACCCTGTTGTACTAGCAAATACGATGTCTTATTTTCCCACTAGAGACCCTGAACGCTCACTTGTCTGCCTGACGTCCTCACAAGCTGCGAGGGGCTGAGGCTTGAGGATACAGCAGGACTGGAGGCCAGGCCGCCTCCCTGCTTGGCTCCCAAGTCCTTTTGGGGGAACAGTGACTGGCACAGGCAGGGTGCATCCTGCTGCCAGCCTTCCCACCCAGGGCCCAGACCCCACCTGCCCTTCTGCCCTTGGAGGGCTGGCCGCTCCCAGACCGCTCTGAGTCCTGCACCTATGGTGCACTGGTGCAATGTTTAGCAACCAGACCTAGTGAGGGGAAGCCTGGGGTGCATTTTTTGCACATGCCCATGGTGTTATTACTCCACCAGGGCTGGTTTCAAGTTACCCCCAGCTGAGCAACCAGTCCACAGGAATTCCTGAAACTACCAGTCTGCTTGTGGTGTGAGTGGTGCCTGTGCCCTCTGCAGCCAGGGTCGGCATAATGGGTAACCTGTGATGCGTTCCATTAGAGGAAACGTGGGAAAAGCAGGGATGGATTTACCTTTGTAGAAGCAGAAGCTCACAAAATTTGAGAGACCTTTAAGAAAAATAAAATGCCGGCCGGGCGCGGGGGCTCACGTCTGTGATCCCAGCACAGTGGGAGGCTGAGGCGGGCGGATCACAAGGTCAGGAGATCCAGATCATCCTGGCTAACACGGTGAACCCCTGTCTCTACTAAAAATACAAAAAAAAAAAAAAAAAATTAGCTGGGTGTGGTGGTGTGCACCTGTAATCCCAGCTACTGAGGAGGCTGAGGCAGAATTGCTTGAACCTGGGAGGCAGAGGTTACAGTGAGCTGAGATCGTGCTACTGCACTCCAACCTGCGTGACAGAGTGTGACTCTGTCTCAAAAAATAAATAAATGAATAAATAAATAAATAATAGCCGGGTATGGTAGCGCACGCCGGTAATCCCAACACTTTGGGAGGCTGAGGCAGGTGGATCATCTGAGGTCAGGAATTCAAGACCAGTCTGCCCAATAGGGTGAAACCCTGTCTCTACTAAAAATACAAAAATTAGCTGGGCATGGTGGTGTGTGCCTGTAATCCTGGCTACTTGGGAGGCTGAGGCAGGAGAATCCCTTGAACCAGGGAGGCAGAGTTTCAGTGAGCTGAGATCACACCATTGCACTCCAGCCTGGACACAGAGGGAGATCCCGTCTCAAAGAAAATAAACACTTTTTTTTTAAATTTTGAGACAGAGTCTTGCTCTGTCACCTAGGCTGGAGTACAGTGGCTTGATCTCGGCTCACTGCAAACTCCGCCTCCCGGGTTCATGCCATTCTCCTGCCTCAGCCTCCCAAGTAGCTGGGACTACAGGCGTCCACCACCACGCCCGGGTAATTTTTTGTATTTTTAGTAGAGATGGGGTTTCACCGCGTTAGCCAGAATGGTCTTGATATCCTGACCTCGTGATCCGCCTGCCTCGGCCTCCCAAAGTGCTAGGATTACAGGCGTGATCCACTACGCCTGGCCAAAAATAAATAAATTTTTAAAAATTAAATAAATAAAGTAAAATGCTGAGTACAAAGTTGAGTAAAGGGCTTCAGGAGGGGTCGTGTAGGCAGAGTCCCTAAGTGTCTTTAGATTTATGTTAAATTTGCCTTAAAAACAGAGTAAGGGGCTGGGCACAGTGGCTTGTGCCTGTAATCCTAGCACTTTGGGAGGCCAAGGTGGGTGGACCACCTGAGGTCAGGAGTTCGAGAGCAGCCTGGTCAACATGGTGAAACCCCATCTCTACTAAAAATACAAAAATTAGCCGGGCGTGGTGGCACACATTTGTTTTCCCAGCTACTCAGGAGGCTGAGGCAGGGGAATCACTTGAACCCAGTGGGTGGAGGTTGCTGTGAGCCGAGATCACGCCACTTCACTCCAGCCTGGGTGAAAGGGTGAAACTCCGTCTCGGGAAAAAAAGAAAGAAAGGCAGAGTAAGGAAGATCATGCCAGAGGGGTGGCCATGGGGGTTTGTGGGGAAGGCCAAGTAGAGGAAAGGGCCAGTCCCAGGCCATTGAGGCAGGAGTGGCCTGTAGCTCTGCAGGAAGAGCTGAGAACCTGGAGCCCTCTGAGCATCAGGGTGTGCAGGGGGCATGGGGCCAGAGAAGGGACTGAGGTCTGGTCAGGTGCAGCTGGGCAGGTCCTCAAAAGGACTTTGGAGTTTTTGTTTTGTTTTGTTTTGTTTTAGACAGAGTCTCACTCTATCACCTAGGTTGGAGTGCAATGTCATGATCTCAGCTCACTGCAACCTCTGCCTCCCAGGTTCAAGCGATTCTCCTGACTCAGCCTCCCGAGTAGCTGAGATTACAGGTACCTGCAACCATACCTGGCTAATGTTTTCATTTTTAGTAGAGACAGGGTTTTACTTTGTTGGCCAGGCTGATCTCAAACTCCTGACCTCGTGATCCAGCTGCTTCAGCCTCCCAAAGTGCTGGGATTACAGGCGTGAGCCACTGCGCCCAGCCCCCAGCACTTTGGTTTTTACTGTTGCTGATGCTCGGAGCTATGTAGCAGCTGCTGGTGTCACTTTACAAGGCCCACCCTGACCCCTCTGTTGAGGACCCACCATGGGAGTGGCAGGCAGACAGAGACTAGTTAAGAGGTGAGCTTAGCTACCTAGCGAGAGATTCTGGAGGCTGGGACCAGGGTCGGGGAGCAGAGGTGCGGCATGTGCAGGGCTGGGAGCGAAGGCTGGCCAGGGTCCTCAGCTCCCTGGAGGGAGGAACAGCAGGGGTGGGGCTGGGTTTTGGTGGGCTGAGGGGTGAGTGGGAAGTAGGAGACGGAGAGCAGTAGTAGCCACAGCTCTTTGAAAGGCTGGAAACAAATGGAGCTTGGGTGATGTCGGGGATTTGTGGCGAGTGGGATTGTGGATTCTGAAGGCACTGCCCAGGTTTGAGGCCTAGTGCTGCTGTGGGCCTGTCTGCACCTCTGTCTCCCTTTCTGTGGTGAGGATTAGTGGCAGCAAAGAATGCAGTGAGGCCATCACCCTGTCACCTTCTGGGGTTATTTGTGACGATGCCAATGATGGTGTGAGATGGGGAGGTGCAGGCAGGACAGAAAGCTGCAGGAATGGGCGGGCAGGACCCAAGGCGGGAGGAAGGCTGTGCTGCAATGCACGCTCTTGGAGACCAAGGGTGGGGAGCTGCCTATGCTCAGCAGCTGGCAGGTGTGAGGGACCAGGAGCAGGGTTGAGAAGGTTGCTGGAGGCATTGAAGGCCAGCCTTGGCCAGGGGCGGACCTGAAGACCCAGCACTTGTCATGCAGAGGGTGTCATGGACACAGAGGCTTGGAGATCCTGAGTGAGGGGCAGTGACTGAGGCCCCTTGGTGGGTTTAGTGGGGAAGGTGATTGGCCATTTTCGGACCATGGAGGCCAGGGGAGTGGAGGGCCACCAGAGGACACTCCTGTCTACCCTGCCAGCCAGGGGCTGGAGTGGGCCAGATGGGGCCGGTGGACTGGACTGGGCTGGCTGGAGTGTCCTGAGGGGTCCAGCCTGGCCAACACCTCCTGGTCATCTGGGGGTTGAGGCTGCAGCAGGAGAGGAAGCTTCTGAGCCCCAGTAACCAGGCCTCAGCGCCCGGGGCCCAGCTGCTCCCTCCCTCCTTCCGTCTTTCAGTTTCACTTTTGTTTTCCTGCTCCCTGCAGAGTTAGGCTTGCTGAGGGGCAGGCGCAGGAGTCCTGGCTGAGCTCATGACCTGAGGCTGCCGAGCGGCAGCAGGGAGTGTAAGTACCGTGTGTGGGGCCACCCATAACGGGTGAGTATTGAGGGCACCCCTCGGAGGGGCCTGGGGAGGGGTAGGAGGGGTGGAGTGGGCTGTTTCCCTACCCACCCGATGCCCCATCCCAGGGTTGCAATGGCGGAGGCAGAGGCAGGGGTGGCAGTGGAGGTCCGTGGACTGCCTCCTGCTGTGCCCGACGAGCTGCTCACACTCTACTTTGAAAACCGCCGACGCTCTGGAGGGGGGCCTGTGTTGAGCTGGCAGAGACTGGGCTGTGGGGGCATCCTCACCTTCAGAGAGCCTGCAGGTGAGAGGACTGGCTGAAGGGGCAGCCTGGGTGCCTTGATGTTCTGATGCCTGACGTCCTGCCCTGCCACTGCCCACAGACGCCGAGAGGGTCTTGGCCCAGGCAGATCACGAACTACATGGTGCCCAGCTGAGCCTGCGGCCAGCTCCACCACGAGCCCCTGCACGCCTGCTGCTCCAAGGACTGCCCCCTGGCACCGCACCCCAGCGTCTGGAGCAGCATGTCCAGGCCCTGCTGCGTGCCTCGGGGCTCCCAGTACAGCCCTGCTGTG